TACAATTCCTCCCCCAAGTTTGCATTCAGCTATTGTTTACGTTAAATCTCCTGCTGCTGCCATGGATATAATGGGAGAAAAAGAAAGTGAGAGGAATTTGTGAATGTTCATATGCATTTAGAATTTCTTTCAAAGGCTTATATTACTTTTTCAAAGTGGAAGGCCAGTTTCAGTAATGCTAATATCTTCTCTGGAAAATAGAGAGACCCATATAGAAATTATAATGAGCATTAAAATGAGAATATTTGGCCTGAGTCTTATAGCTAACTTTTGTTCAGCAAGGATGCATTAAACTGATCAAAAGTGACAATTCAGATATTTATAATGTTACAAAAGATTTCTTCTTAAATGAAATTTTGTTCTTTTGAACTTTCTATTTATTCATTGAAGAATAACAGAAAAACAATATATCATGTTGTGGCTGCAGCTTCAGGTTTGCCATCACAGGACTAAATTACATTTTAAAATATGCTAAAATAGAAAACAATTATAAATTGTAATAATATTTTACAATGTGACTGTTTTTATCTCTATTTTTGATCAATTGCAGCCTTGCAGACTCTATATATATTTAAGTAAGGTAAAGTAATGGTGGGGGTTGTTACAAATCTTTGCCACATTGACCCTTTAGAGACTCTGGTTGGAGATGAAGGTCATTTGAATGATGCCTGGCTTCCAACAATAGTTTGCGAAGTTCAGGTCCAACATTAGACTGGGGACAATGGACCAAACTGGGGGCTGGGACTGTGTGTGTGACTGGACACAGGCTGTCTGCCTTAAGCCCTACGTTGTTCATCCACCCTTCACCAACTCTCTCATGACCCTTTAGGGACCGAGGTCATAGCTCAAGGGGTGGGGATGGGTGAGGGTCTCCTGCTGCTCAGAAGACCATCTACAATCCCCCAAAACCCCATTTCAATCCACCTCTCATCTGAATTATCAGAATTATCCCCAGACGTGAGCTCTTAATCACACTTCTATTCGGGTCTCATGCAGGTTGGAATGGGTTATTAGCATAGACTTTATACTCTATGCACCATCATCACCGTTGTAGCAACCATGGAGATCTTAGATCCTGGAGTTTGAGGTATAATGACAAACTTCTCTAATGGGAAGATCATGGAACACAGTTTTCCATTGTGAGGTGGGCAGAAACAGAAAACCTCTACCTTAGAAAACAGTATATTTAATTGTTCTCTAAGATGGTTAGTGTTAAATATCTAGTCCATTTATATCCGTGCTACCACATTACATTATTTAATTGGATATATCAAGCAAAAACTAACATTATGTTTGTACATACATGCCTTTGTTGCTTAGGCCTATGTGTTATTCTCTGTATTTCTGAATCCAGCTTGTGTGACATAACCCCCCTTTCCCCTGGGACCTCTGAATTTCATTAACACTTCGTAAGTAAGTAAGCCGGGGAAGGGTCAGATGTAACCCTGGACCCCCTTCTGGTCCTTATCCCAATAATTAAAGACCTGAGGCCATAGTGATGGGGTGTCCTCCCCCTGCAATTGGAGCATATTGCTTATTGATTTTACCCAAAGGTTTTATGTCTGGCAAAGACTTTTTCATAAAAAGCTGTTGACCTACAGACACAATCTAATTAATAGAAACACATATATTTTACTAAGCACCATTATATGACTGAAAATAGCATCTTAAAACATCCTTTAAAAAGTTTGAGTCAGATACAGATAGATCAAAAGTAAAGCACAAAAGAGCTAATTGGTGAGTGGTAATTGGTTAATGGGGGGGGTGGAGTGAAACTGCGGGGGATTGTTTCCTCTCAGAGGAAATGCAAGTGTGTTTGCAGGACTTTGAACTTGGCATATGCCACCTAATGACAATCAGTGTTTAAACAAAAGGCAACTTTGCCTCAAATGACCAACACACAGGAGTGTTTGTGTAGGCGGCTTGTGGCTATTGTAGTCGGGAAGAATTCAACTCCCATATTTCTGAATCCAGCTTGTGTGACATAACCCCCCTTTCCCCTGGGACCTCTGAATTTCATTAACACTTCGTAAGTAAGTAAGCCGGGGAAGGGTCAGATGTAAGCTAGCCCTCATAAAAATGAAAAAGGAAGAGACAGACTGGTCCCATCTACATCTGCTCAGTGTGTGACCTAACTGGGAGCAAAAGGTGCATCCCAGATATTCCCTTCAGTGGAAGTCTAGTTTATAGCGCTATATATTTATGGACTCTGGTATTGATATTGTTCAAGGTATATGAGTCCAAGGTATATGAGAGTGAGACGATTGAGCTTATCTGGCCATGTTGTCATGGGCAATGTAAGATTTTGCAGCAGTGGTTTCCTATATGCACTTCGAATTAGAGTGAAACAGATATTTCTGGATCATACAAGTATTTTGTGAAAATGAATTTAAAATAATATCTAAAATCAATCATTTGAAAAGTTACAGGTAAATTATTTAAAGCATAATAATTAGAATGTACAGTATGATATATATATATATATATATATTCAGTTTGAGATTTGCTAAAGATAAATGTGTCATTAAATTATTAGTGTTTTTAAAAATGTAATTTAATTCAGCATTAGGTAATGGTAAAGGTTATCTAAATGTAAAAATGCCCAATATTGGCATAACAATAACTTTATGTGTAAAAGTATTGCTAATTTATTAAATATGGCCGATAACCAATAGCCTATAGTACAGATATATTTTGCATCCCTAAAAAATATAATACATCATCCACTGTTACAGCTCTAAATGGCCTATATGAAACTTAAAATGTCAAATAATGAGCAGCTGGATGCAGAGAGCAGAATTCTCTTTAAATGGATAGTTCACCCAAAAATTTAAATTCTGTCATCATTTACTCACCCTCAAGTCCAAACCTGTAAGAGTGTCTTACTTCTGCTGAACACAAAAGAAGATATTTTGAAGAATGTTGGTAACCAAACAGCTACTGGTAGCCATTGACTTCTATATTATTTTTCCACACTATGGAAGTCAGCGGCTACCAGCAACAGCAATTTCTTCTACACACAAATTAAGATATTTTAAAGAATGTTGCAACTGTTTTTTTTTTTTATACACAATGGATGTCAATGTGGTTCAAAACAACATTGAACCCTTTGACTTTAATTTTATGGATAAAAACACACTGAAACATTTGTACAAATATCTTATTTTGTGTTCCACAAAGTAAATGATGACACAACGCTAATTTTTTGTGAACTATCCCTTTAAGACTCTTATTCACATATGACTTTCATATTACAGCTGTCACGATCAAGTGCAGGTGGTGTTTGAGGACCCCAGAAGTCAAAAATTTGTATATTTTAGCAAGCAGAGGAACAGAAGTGCATATTGAAAGTGGGGTATATGTCTACCTAACAGATGCTCAAGGTACTTCATATCTCATCCAGTGCAAGTTCAAGAGCAGACTTGTGCTCCTTAACATAACAGCTGCCGGAGACACCGGCCATCTCCAGAGGTCACATTAAGGGTGGCTTTAGGTCTGGAGTTCTCCATATAAAAAGCACAGAAGATGTATGGAATGGCCATGTAGCAAGTTGACAATGAGAGAGGACCGGGGTGAACCAGTGGCATGGGAAAGTCACCCTGGAATCAGACTGAAAGGAAAATGTGACCGCTGGGGGTTTGGAATGGTGGGGGTTTGTATAAGTGGGGGGCAGATGGTCCAGACTGAGAGGGGTGCAGAAGGCTCCTGGTGGTTGCCGGGAGTTGTTTTTGGGAAAAGGGTGTCGTCACAGGGCTATTGTCATCAGGGTGCGTTTACTCAAAAGAGATTCCTCTAACTTGACCCCATAACTCACCCTAATTCTCCATCCCTTCTACTCTGTCTTTGACACAGCCCTCTATGGTTCACTGGCTGCATTGCGTTTGTCTCTATTGTGACGACCAGGTTTGGTTTGGTGATACTGAGTAAATAGGCAGAAATGCTTAAAGCTCACAGTGAGACACAAATGCAGTTTTGTGGATATGGAAAGTTTGACCTCAGAGCTTTTATTTTTCAAAGGCATTTTTCCTTTTGTTTGAGTCTTGAATTAAAAGAAAACACAGACATTTGCAACAAACACAAAAATATACATGTATATCATAAAACTCAATGAAAGTTGGGGATGAGACCAAAAAGGACTTTTAGCAATTTAAAAAATATATATATTTCAAGGAAAGTAGCTAAAAATCATTCTAACTTTAATGTCTTTAGAAGTCAAGTCACATCTGCATATAGCGCTTTATACAAAACAGAATGTTTCAGATCAACTTCACTGTAATAAAGGAGAAAATAACAGAAGTGTCGTTATTCAACTCAGTATAGTTCAATGTTGAATACATTTAGTTCAGTAACAGTGTGAAAGTTGCCATGTTCTGTAACAGTGTTGATGTTGCAGAGTTAATCAATTATGAAACAAATTTAATTCAGCTGTAAAGCAGCTCTACAGAAGACTATTGTCATTATCCAGTGCAAGTTTTGTTCTGCTTCAATAGCATCAGTGCAGACAAACTGATAATATTATGGAATATTAAGTGTCTGTTAAACCCAATAGAACTTCATCACTATTCTTTTTATATATCATCAATGTTTCATATGCATAATGTTTATTATAATATAGTTGTTGTTTTTTTTCATTGTAGACCATTCATTTTACATACAGTCTTTAATTGTAGGGTTTGTTTCAGTTGTGTTCTGACCCATCTTCCATTTCTCTCTCACTTTCAGGTTTGTGTAATGGATCTGAGCTGGCTTTCCTTACGGAGCCCAGTGATGTTATCGCGGTACGGGACAGGCCGTTGATGCTGGACTGCAGGGTGGAAGGCGAGGGTCCCATTACGGTGACGTGGCATAAGAACGGAGCTCCGCTGCTTCTGGGAGTAGGCAGTCGTGCGAAGGTCCTATCCAACGGCACGCTCATGATCCGTAGCTTCCAGAAGAGACGGGATGGAGATGCTACCGATGCTGGAGAGTATTACTGTGCTGCACAGAACCACTACGGCATGCTGGTCAGCCGCAAGGCCCGTGTGCAGCTTGCATGTGAGTGACTGAGGAGAAAGCATTTCAAACATGGGAGACATGGGTGACAGTGGATAGTTTTTCACCAGGATATGAAATCGTATGCTTTGCCTATGATCACTTAATTGTTTATGTGGTAAATACACTGATATAGTGGAGGCACCAATGCCTGTTTACTATCTGTTACTTTGTCCTTTCCAATCTTCTTTGGGTTCTCCCTTTGGTCCAATAAAAGCAGTAGGGTGGGTGATAATCCTGCAGAATTATAGTTGTCACTACATGCTTCCCCAGAAGGTTCTATGTTACCATGGCAATGAAGTCTCATTGGGAGCCCCCTTCTTCTAACACTCCTACCTATTGATTATATAAATGACCAGGCTATTTAGACCACAATACTCTTGGCACCTCATCCTACAGCCCCAATGAAAATCACCATTTTAGATGCCAATATTAAGTTATCACAGTAAATTCACATAAGAGAATGTAAGAATACACATAGAGTCCTCACTGCAAAACATATACTTATCTTTTATTTATGTATCTAGAAAATATCTGGAAAACAATATAATGTTATATCCAAATATCTTAACATCCTCAAAACAGGTTAAATTTATTTGACATGCAAAATCATATAAAGAATATCTCTTGAAATAATCTTGAAATTAAACTAAACCTCACTAAGTTTTGATACATTTATGTTTAATATATATTAATAAAAAAATGTATTCAATATTTTTCAAGGAAGTCTCGTATGATCTCTCAGACTGCATCTGTTTGATACAGTAAAAACAATAATATTGAGATTTTTTTTTACAATTCAAAATAACTGTTTTCTGCTTTAATATATTTTTAAAATGTACTTTATACTTGTGATGGCAAAGCTGAATAACAGCAGCCATTACTCCAGTCTTCAGTGTCACATGATCCTTCAGAAATTATTATTATAATACAGTGCCTTGCGAAATTATTCAGACCCCTTCATTTTTTTCACATTTTGTTATGTTGCTGCCTTATGTTAAACTGCTTTAAATGACTTTTTTCCCACATCAATCTACACTCCATACACCATAATGGTAAAGCAAAAAAATGGTTTTTAACATCTTTTCAAATTTATTAAAAATAAAAAACTATAATGATTCCATTGCATAAGTATTCATCTGGGACAGTTGAAATTTAGCTCAGGAGCATTCATATTGCTTGTAGATGTTACTACACTTCAAGTGAAGTTAACCTGTGGCAAATTCAATTGAATGGGTATGATTTGGAAAGGCACACACGTCTTAATAAAAGGTCTAACAGCTGATAATGCATATCAGAGCAAAAACCAAGCCCTGAGGTCAAAAGAACTGCCTGGAAAGCAAGCTCTATGATCATATGTGGAGATAGGAGAAACTTACAGAAGGACAAACATCACTGCAACACTCCACCGATCCGGTCTTTATGGCGGTGTGGCCAAACTCAATCCTCTCCTCAGTGAAGACACATGAAAACACACTTGGAATTAGCAAAAAAGCACCTAAAGGACCATCAGACTGTGAGAAACAATATTATCTGGTCTGAATAACCTCAATTCCAAGCATTATGTCTGAAGGAATCCAGATTGATGTGGGGAAAAAAAGTAATTTAAAGCAGTTTAACATAAGGCAGCAACATAACAAAATGTGAAAGAAATGAAGCACTGTATTTAGTGTATAAATAACTATTAATTATATCAGTTGTCTTTGTTCCACAGCTCTTCCTAAATTCCACACTCACCCAGAGCCCATGTCGGTAGATGAGGGAGGTGTTGCACGTTTCCAGTGTCAGGTCAATGGTATTCCTGAGGCCAACATTACTTGGGAGAAAGACCGTGTTGTGCTTGGAACATCTGATGACAGGTACCACAGTCCTCGCTGACAGTTCTTACTCTCTTTCTTTATATTCTTCCTCTCAAACTCCTCCAGAATTGCTCATTCATGTTACTCTTTCTTCCCAGGTACACACTTCTCCCAATGGGTATTCTGCAGATTACAGGAGTTAAGAAATCAGACACTGGTGTCTATCGCTGTGTTGCCACCAATATCGCCAACACCCGCTACAGCCACGAGGCCTATCTGAACGTAACAGGTCAGTAGCCACCCTTGATCTGACAAACACCCCATACTGCATGTATATAACCTTAACCTTAAACTCTATGCATCCAGTAAATAAGCAATGTGCTATATTATGTATTGAACAACCAGAACATTGATTTCCTCAAATGTCATCCTTATATTAGTGATTTGTAATTTAGCTCCAGTTTCATCATCTCTTTATTTGCCGTTCTACTCTCAGGAGGTGTTCCTCGCACCTATAAGGAGCCAGTCATCCTGTCCGGCCCACAGAACCTCACCATTACCGTCCATCAGACCGCCATTCTGGAGTGTATCGCCACTGGAAACCCTCGTCCGATTGTGTCTTGGAGTAGACTTGGTATTAATCCTTAACACTCAAACTGACCAAAGATAACTTAATGTTCTGGATTTCTCATAACTTAATTCCTTCTCATAATTTTTTTCCATCAGACGGCAGATCTATTGGAGTGGAGGGCATACAAGTGCTTGGGACAGGGAACCTGATGATCTCAGATGTCTCCCTTCAGCATTCTGGAGTGTATGTGTGTGCTGCCAACCGGCCTGGCACCAGGATGAGGCGTACTGCATTGGGCAGGCTGGTAGTTCAAGGTAAGCTTCTTTGATTTGTACTGAAGATATTTTGTGACATGTTCTTACTGATTTTCCACTCAAATTTTAAAAGTGATTTTATCTAATTTCTCCTCATTTTGGCCTTTCGTCTCAGCTGAAAGATCCTTTACAGTGTTTTGTGATATATAGTACTGTTCAAAAGTTTGGGCCTGGTACAATTTTTAAAATGTTTAAAAAAAAAAAAAAAATCTTATGTTCACCAAGGCATTTTTTTTTTTTTTAAATCAAAATACAGTCAAAACAGTAATATTATGAAATATTGTTCAAATTATTTAAAATAACTGTTTGCTATTTAATATATTTTCAAATGTAATTTATTGCTTTGGTGGTGGTGTAACAGAAATCATTCTATTATTTCCCGATCAAGAAACATTTCTTATCATTATCAATTTTGAAAATAGTTGAGGTGCTTAATATTTTTTTTTACGATTCTTTGGTTAATAGAAAGTTCAAAAGAACAGCATTTATTTGAAACAGAAATATTTTGCAACATTATAAATTTAACGCATCATTGCTGAACAAAAGTATTCTCTTTTTTTTCAAAACTCTTACTGACCCCAAACTGTTGAACGGTAGTGTATTGAATCAGAAAGGTATATATTTTACCTTCAGTATTTTGTAAATGGTCCTAACCCATGTGGCAAATAATAGCTGACCCCACACTGCTTAATCCTGATTTGTTGTGACAGAAGTTCACAAAGCTTCACTATTACAGTAATTTTATTATTTGCACACTTCACTGAGCACAAAAGAGCAAGCCTATTTTGTGTGTGTGTGATTGTTGCTGTGTATGTATTGAATGAATTAAGTATTTTTGGGCCGTTATGATGACCAGACATCAGGCAGAACTGGTTTTGAACATGACCCATGGAAGCTGACTGGTCAGCACAGCAGGAGAAGTCAATATTCAGGCCCTCCCTTCTCTCACCTTTGCCCTTCTTGGTTTTTTTCTCACTCTGTTACTGGGTCTGATGATGTGAGACTCTGACTACCATTATGGTAATTAAGGTCTGCTGGTGCTGTCCAGCTGGGCTTGAGAGGAATAGCTTGGGTAATGAAGTCAGCTGTTAGGAGATATCCCCCCTTCAACACCCCAATGACACAAAAACTCATCCATCACCCTGCTACTGTCCGTATATTCAACCTGATCATATATCCCTGAGGTATATATGCTCCTTTCATTGGCTTTCTTCAAAGTAGCTGCACACTGGGGGTCTTTAGGAAAGAACAACATGAGAACAAATGGGTAAATCATCCATGAGAGGTGTAGTACAAAAGTCATATTTAATATCACAGTTGGTAGTAGTATCGGTAAACGACTAAGCTTTTTATTCACCTGAACATAACATAAGCATAATCCTAATAATATCTTTTAACATCTTAAACAGTACAAGTGATGGCCAGGAGGTAGATATTTATTTCAACACATGCTGAATATCTGCTGTGATAATGAAGATTATCCTCTTGTCCCTTAGCTTTATGCATCCATTCATTTGTTAAATTGTCGTTGAAATTGCACCCAGGTGTGCTTTCTCTGTCTCTGTCCCAAATGTGCAGCTTATGTCTGATCAATCAATAGTCATCCCTATCAGTCTTTTTACAACAGAATTGTCAGTGAAGCCATTTGGGGGAGGTAATCTTGAATGTATTGATTCATTTATTGATCCACTTTTTGTGTAAGATGGGAACAAAGAGATTAGCTTAGGTTATTTCTCCAAAAAAGAAAGCAAAAACCTTCCCAACAAATCCGGAGAAAAGCCTCATTAAGTAATTCAGATCAGTGAAGCAAAATTAAATTTTAGAGTAACACAGAGTGTCACAGAAAGGAAATTCATTATCAAGGAATTGTGCAAGAATATATTTGAGTAGTAATCCTCAATATATAAGGTTTTATATGTTAACATTAGATAACACATGAAATAATACACAGTTTTTACAGCATTTATTAATCTTGGTAAATGTCAATTTACCATGTAAGCATCATATTGTTCATTATTTAGTTCATGTATTATGAATTATGTTCATTTATATTACTTAAAATGTTAACATGTATTAATATAGGGTACGGTTCTAAAGTTTGGGGTCAGTGAGATTTTCTGATATTTTTTTTAAAGATATTAAAACTTTTATAAGTAATCAAAAGTGACAGTAAAAGACATTTATAATGTTACAAAATATTTTTATTTTTACACAAAAAATATTAAGCAGCACAACTGTTTTTAACATTGATAATACAAAATGTTAATTGAGCACCAAATATTAGCATATTATTTCTGAAGGATCATGTGAAACTGAAGACTGGAGTAATGGCTGCTGAAAATTCAGCTTTGCCATCACAGGAATAAATTACATATTTTAAATATATTAAAACAAAAGAAGCTGTTTTAAATCATTTTAACTTGATAGACAAGCACTGAAATTCAGTAGATGAAGCAGAAAGGGAAATTTGGATATTATAGTTATATAATATCCAAAGTTTGTAACTTATATATATATATAAGTTACAAACTTAACAGTCTGTCTGCTAGTCATGAAGGTACAATCAGCACATCCTAGTCAAGTTCAAAACTGAGGGGTCTGTTTATGTCCTCCAGACTGCTCATTGTGGATGTGAGGTCTGCGCTTTCACACAGTCATAAAGGTTCGGACAGATGCTGAGCCAGGATGTGGACAATAGAGAACAAAAAGGAAAACAGACAGGCAAAGAGCAGTTTTCCTAGTGTGCATGTGTATGTTTCGGGAGGGGCAAGGTATACCCTCTCACCTCTGCCCTCTCATTTCTCACCTTTGACCAGTGTTGCCAGATTGGGTGGTTTTGAATTTGATTGTGCGGGTAAAAATTGGCTTGGGTGGGTGGACAAAATTTGGGCTGGTTTGGGGTCAATTTGGCGGTTTTCAAACATATAAATTGCATAGGCTAATTGTTTAACAAACAAGCCCAAGTATGCATGTACTGCATCCAATCAGTCATCATAACGTTACTACACACACACACACTGCAGAGGCGCTGGTGCTGATGTAAACGTCGACAGACGCACTTATCATGAGGGCTCAGCAGACAGACGTTATGATTCAAGGGTGACAAGTTTTTAGCGTGATAAGTTATAACGTATCTGATTTTTAATGTAGTATGACTGTATATTCAAGTAATCACAATGCCTAGTTAAAGAGTGGGAGAGTGACTCAACTCTCAAAACGTGAATTATTGTGGAGTGAGATGACACGAAGGCTCTATCACTGCAACTCCGGAATCAGAGCACATTTGAATTAATCATAACCAAAACTAAATATGTCGGTTTATATGATCATGTCTTTTATCTTTTAAACATCCAGATTGGTAAATCCTTGAAAACTGCTAGACTTGATTAGTTTTGACTGTGCAAAGTTCTGTATTATGTTCTACAATATAAACTTAACAAGAGGCTTCCTCTAGTTCTGTGTAAAATTATAGAGCGACACGTAGGTAAGCGCATTATTGTTGTTGTTATTTTTTTTATTGTCGGATTATAATGAAGTATCAATGAATGACACAGTTTTTGACTGTCATGGTGTGTGCATGAACGAGTGTGAAATACCTGCTAATTATGTTGCTTTTTCCTATCACTTATATTGGGCACTTTTTGCATTTAAACTGGATTATTCTGACTGCTGACATTGAAAATCATGCGTTGTTTCGAGGGTATCGGTTAATTTCATGATTGCCGTTTTGACAGTGTCTGCTTGCATATTTTATTCATGTTCGGTAGCCTAATTCTCTTTAATGTAGGCTATTCGCCCCGATTTGATCCGTTTGCCTGCGAAATTGATCTTATTTATAATTTATATTATTTTGTCATCAATATTTTGTTTTAAGGAGTTAAAATGGCCCTTATCAACCTTGATTTACATATTCTATAACATTATTTTGACAGTTAAAGTTTTGGGCGGGTTTTTGTGAGCTTTTGGGCTGGAAATCGTCCATCCAATCTGGCAACACTGCCTTTGACATTGGCCTAGGAAGCTCTTTTACGAGAGTAGGCAGCAGAAGGGGTGGAGCCTCCTCTGACAGACAGGTGATGAAGCAGAGAGAGAGGGGCCAGCAGAATGGATGGTCCTCAAATGAGGAAGGGTGATGGGCCTTTATGAGCCCTCCCCCACACTATTCATAGCATTATGAGGGCAGTTGTTCTCGTCCCAGCTGGTGGTCAGGCAGTGGATGACGAAGTTCAAGGGGGAGATTGTGACGGTATAACAGTTTGTGTTGAGGGAACCCCTTCCTTTATTTTCACCCTGGGCTATTTTTAATATGAAAAATGAAAGGATATTGACATCTGGTTCAGCTGAGGGGTTTCCTTAAGTTACATTTTCTCAATCTGAAAATGTATACCTATATCATAGCAGGTGCAGAAATAGCAATTTATATTAAACATGTGGCTCATTGATATAAGTCATTACATGTGACTTGAAATCCAGCGAATGCTTTCAAGAACCAGTTCATCAGGAGGCAGCCATGTTTTTCAATAATAATAATTGATTGCATAAATCACACAACAGAATTAAATGAATGAGGAGTAGCCACCTGATCAGACACAAGGTCAGGATCTGAGACCCTGCTAAAAGAATAACTGATCAATACATGAGATGGATTGGACACTGATGCTGTCAGTTGATCCTGGTTGTAAAGACACAGCTGGTTAGTTGTTAGAGTGGAAAACAGACCCCCAAAGGCTGAGGCTGTTATTTAATTGTACTCTGATTGCTTCCTGTTTGCAGGCAAGGGAAATGACATGTTATGAAATCATGAATCCATCTGAATCAGTCACAGATCGACATGTGCATGAGTGTTTTAAGTGTGCTTGTATTTATAGCTGACTTTCACTGGGCGTTTACATGTACTTAAGAAGTTCAATTTAAGTCGGACTAAAACATTTATTGTTTTTTCACAATGCTATATAAAAGCTTTTGTCTGACAGAAATAGAACCAGTTTTGATTAGTCTTC